AAACAAAACTCTCTGGTCTGAAAAGACTAAAATTTAACTCTTTGGAGTGAATATCAGGCGTTACATTTGGGGAAAGCCAGGCAGAGCTCATCACCAGGCTAATACTATTCCTACAGTGAAGCATGGTGGTGGCAGCATCATGCTGTGTGGATGTTTTTCAGGAGCAGGAACTGGAAGACTAGTCAGGATAGAGGGAAAGATGAATGCAACAATGTACAGAGACATCCTGAATGAAGACCTGCTTTAGAGTGCTCCTGACCTCAGACTGGAGCGACGGTCATCTTCCAGCAGGACAATGACCCAAACCACACTACCAAAATATCAATGGAGTGGCTTCACAATGACTCTGTTCTTGAGTGGCCCAGCCAGAGCCCAGACCTAAATCCTATTGAACATCTCTGGAGAGATCTGAAAATGGCTGTACACCGTCGCTTCCCATCCAACCTGATCGAGCTTGAGAGGTACTGCAAAGAGGAATGGGCAGAAATTCCCAAAGGCAGGTGTGCCAAGCTTGTGGCATCATATTCAAGAAGACTTGAGGCTGTAATCACTGCTAAATGTGCATCAACAAAGTATTGAGCAGAGGTTGTTAATACTGATGTACATGCGATTTTACAGCTTTTTTATTTGTAATAAATTTGCAACAATTTTAGAAACTCTTTTTTCACATTGTCATTATAGGGTATTGTGTGTAGAATTTTGAGGACATACATTCATTTGATCCATTTTGGAATAAGGCTGTAACATAAACAAATGTGGAAAAACTGAAGCGCTATGAATACTTTCTGGATGCACTGTACAGTTGAAGACAAAATGGCTAGCCCGTGTGATTTCTTTTTTTATTCTTTTATTAAATCATTCCCTAAATGATGTTTACCAGAGCAAGGAATTTTTCACAGTATTTCCTATTATATTTTTTCTTCTAGGCGAGGCAGTGGCGCAGTAGGTAGTGCTGTTGCCTCACAGCAAGAAGGTCGCTGGGTCGCTGGTTCGAACCTTGGCTCAGTTGGCGTTTCTGTGTGGAGTTTGCATGTTCTCCCTACCTTCGGGTGGGTTTCCTCTGGGTGCTCCGGTTTCCCCCACAGTCCAAAGACATGCGGTACAGGTGAATTGGGTAGGTTAAATTGTCTGTAGTGTGTGAATGTGTGTGTGGATGTTTCCCAGAGATGGGTTGCGGCTGGAATGGCATCTGAAGTGTAAAAACTTGCTGGATAAGTTGGCGGTTCATTCCACTGTGGCGACCCCGAATTAACAAAGGGACTAAGTCGACAGGACAATGAATGAATGAATGGTTCTTCAAAACTGATACAGCTAGTAATGAAGTAAATTATTGAATCATTCATTATAAATGAGACTGTGCAGAGGGAGCGAGGCCGAGAGCCGTGGAAACAATGAATGAACAAGAAATAAATTTTTTCTTCTAGAAAAACTCTTATTTGTTTTATTTCGGCCAGAATAAAAAACAGTTTTTAATTGTCTTAAAACTATTTTAAGGTCAATATTATTAGCCTTCTTAAGCAATATTTATCTTTCGATCCTTTGATATTACTGGAAATGTAACCTTCCTAGCGTCAGCAAGGCCAGGACTGCAGATAAGGCTTTTTTGACCTATGAGAAGACAGAATGATATGGAGAGGATTTGAGAGAATGAAAGAAGATTGGATGTACATATTCACTGAAGATCAGATCTTCTTCCGGGCCCTCAGGGGTCAACAACTGCAGATCAACCAAACGATATGCAAATTAAAAAAAGACCGCGCCACAAATTGACTCGTGTGTGTATGTGGTGTGGCTTTGTCCACAATTTCTCACGCTGAATATCACGTGTAAACCAACCACGATGGCAGGAACGTAAACGTGAAGGTGTTTTATTAAAGATTAAGAAGTAGTAGAGGAAAAATATATCCATTTTAAAAGAACAAAGTTGAAAACAATTTGAGATGCGAGGCATTCATAACAGTCTTATCTTGCTGGCTTCGTGTCTTTGTGTGTCTGTGTTTCTGCGAGGGGGGATCAAACGCTAAGATTCACTTTTCATGTGCTAATGTTATCTGCCTCCTTGAGGAGAATTCAAATTAATGATTGTATCATTATTGGTTTGATAAACTGCGTTTAATGAAAGAATGATATCAAGGGTGTGAATCAAAAAATAAGGAGGACATGGCAGGGCATTCCTCAAACTTTTCAGAACCACGAGCAGCTTTGAAATGCAGATATTGCCCCGATGCCACCAGATAAGCTCAGATCCAGCTCTGAAACTGACGGCTTGTCCTGAACGTCACCAAAATATTCAGAAGGGCAGTGAGATATAGGGTGCTAGTTTAGACAATATAGATTATTTCCCTCAACAAATGCATAAGAAATGCTGTAAATATTCGAACAATTTTAAAAATAAAATATCATTTATATATATTTTTGGTGTCAATGATATGGGTACTTGAATAAATAAATAAAACAAGAAAGTAAATAATCACACAAGTAAATAAGTAAAAAAGCAAATAAGTAAATGAGTCAATAAATAAGTAAATAAATAAATAAATATAAAAATAAATTAATGAAATGCGTAAATAATTAAATAAACAAATAAGAAGGTAAATAATCACACAAGCAAAAAAAGTAAACAAGCAAATATGCAAATTAGTAAATAAAAAAATGAACTAAATGCGTAAGTAAATAATAAAAAACAAATAAGAAAGTAAATAATCACACAAGTCAATAAGTATATAAGCAAATAAGTAAATAAGTATGTAAATGAATGAATAAATGAATTAAATACATAAATAATAAATAAACAAACAAGAACGCATATAATCACACAAGTAAAATGAGTTAACAAACTAATGAGTAAATAAGTAAACAAGCAAATAAGTAAATAGGTATGTAAATAAATAAATATAAAAATAAATGTTTTAAAATCGTTTTAAAAGACACATATTTACTCACATTTATAAAGGAAATTCAACTAATTGCTTTAAAAGCAACACATTTACTCTCTTTTTAGAAAGCCGAGTCAACTAATAAGAAAAAGTCAACTAATCACTTTTACAAATATACTAATCGCTTTAAAAGCAACAAATTCACTCACATTTTTTGTAAGCAAAGTCAACTAATTGATTTAAAGGCAACAAATTTACTTATTTTTAAAAGCAAAGTCAATCAATTGCTTTAAAAGACACATATTTACTCACATTTTAGAGAGCAAAGTTAACTAATTGCTTTAAAAACAACAAAATTACTCACATTTTTCAATTAATCGCTTTAAAAGCAACAAATTTACTCACATTTTTAGAGAGCGAAGTCAACTAATTGATGTAAAAGCAACAAATTTACTCGCCTTTTAAAAGCAAAGTAACTACTCGCTGTAAAAGCAACAACTTTTCCCACTTTTTAAAAAGTAAAGCCAACTAATTGCTTTCAAAGCAACAAATTTACTCACATTTTTAGAAAGCGAAGTCAATAATTGATGTAAAAGCAACAAATGTATTCGCCTTTTGAAAGTAAATACTTACTCACATTTTTAGTAAGCAAAGTCAACTAATCGATTTAAAAGCAAAGCATTTGCTTACTTTTTAAAAGCAAAGTCAACCAATCGCTCTAAAAGACACATATTTACATTTTAGAAAGCAAAGTCAACTAATTGCTTTAAAAACAACTAATTTTCTCTCTTTTTTAGAAAGCTGAGTCAACTAATAAGCAAAGTCAACTAATCGCTTTAACAAATATACTCACTTTTTAAATCTAAGTCAACTAATCCCCTTAAAAGCAACAGATTTACTCACATTTTTAGTAAGCAAAGTCAACTAATTGATTTAAAAGCAACAAATTTACTTACTTTTTAAAAGCAAAGGCAACCAATCGCTTTAAAAGACACATATTTACTCACATTTTAGAAAGCAAAGTCAACTAATTGCTTTAAAAACAACTAATTTACTCATTTTTCAGAAAGTTAAGTCAACTAATCGCTTAAAAAACAACAAAATTACTCACATTTTTAGAAAGCGAAGTCAACTACTCGCTGTAAAAGCAACAACTTTTCCCACTTTTTAGAAAGTAAAGTCAACTAATTGCTTTAAAAGCAACAAATTTACTCATATTTTTCAATTAATTGCTTTAAAAGCAACCAATTTACTCACATTCTTAGAAAACGAAGTCAATATTTGATGTAAAAGCAACAAATTTACTCGCAAAACAAATTTAAATTTATTGTGTTCAACGGAAGAAAGAAACTCAAATGGGTTATTGAACAACTCAAAAAAGATGTCAGAATTATAACTCTTGTGTGAACTATCCCTTTAAGTGTCCTGATATTTATTTAGGGCACAGCACATGAGTGGAAAGTCAACAGAAAGTCATCGTTTCTGCAGAGCAACTGCTGCTGTGTCCTGAATGTCTATTAGGACACTACAGGACACTGACGTCTTCAAACCCAGTGAGCTCTGTCATTACTTTCTTCATTCATTCATGCCATGGTGACATCTGCACTGTCTGTCATGTGCACTAGGGCAAATCCTGTCTGATCTGACAGTCTGCCACAGGAGTACAGTCTCAGAAAAATAAAATGGGGATGAGCGCAGATTCATTTGGTTGTGCATTTTTCTTGATGGAGATATCAATCTTTGTTTGTGTTTGTTGCCACCTCCACTTATTATAAGCACTTTTAGCCTGCTTGTTTGGGTTGGGCTAATGTACTCTACTTTTACACAACAATATTAATCATTTAAAGGACACTTAAGTGTTGTTTAAGAGAGTGCACTATCAAGACAATATTTCTACAATGGTTTCTTCTTTTAAAAAAAGTGTAATAATCTTTGTAATACACTTATTTTGATGTGTGTTGAGTAACAAAGCACATTTTAAGCACTTGATTATAATTTCAAATAACATCCAATTAACTTTGCACTTAACATAAAATCTGCACTTAATTATATGTTTGCATTAATTGTGCGTTTTAATTGTAACCTTCATCTTAGCCAATAGGAGACAAAGTGGTGTGATCTTACCGGCTGTGTGCATGAGTCAGAGGGGTGGGTGGAGCTCTGCTCATCTGGAAGAGATAGTGGGCGGGGTTGACGTTGGGTTGGGGGAGGTGCCAGTTAAAACATCCTCCTCAGGGACGGCCTCTATTGTGGACAGTAACTGATAATATTCATCCTCTCCGTCCAGAAGCTTGATTTGCCTGAGAAATGAGACAGAAAATTAGAGAAACACAAATGCCTAATGTTGGGAAAAAAACATAGTTTGTAAAACAGGGCTCTATTTTGACGGTTCATGCGCAGAGCGCAAAACGCAGGGCGCAAACGTTTTCAGGGCATGTCAGAACGCATTTTTGCTGATTTAAGGATGGGAAAACCTGCTTTGCACCATGGCGCATGGTGTAAAAGGGTTGAGTTTATTTTCTTAATGAGTTATAGGTGTGTTTTGAGAATAAACCAATTAGAGTCTCATCTCCCATTCCCTTTAAGAGCCAGCTGCGTCGCGACAAGAGCACATTCACTATTTACAGGACGCAAAGTAAGTCTAAGTGGAAAAAATGAGCATTTCACAAGCAAACAGTTAACAGTTAATAGTTTTTTGACAGAAAACTGTTAAACAGAGCATCTACTGCGTGAGAATGAGAGATAATGGATCTACTTTCACTTTCACTCTTGGATAGGAAAACCTTTACACACAGACATCAATTAGACTATAAATAATTAATTTTGTTTGTTAAGCGCAAATATTCGTTTCTAAACTATTTCTAAATTCAGTTCTAATTTCCAGCAAACGAATAAATGAATAACAATAACGAAGTGTGTTCAAAAACCTGAGTTATATCCTAAAACACATGCTGAGCTCCATATGGTCTAAAACCTGACAGGTGGGCAAATCTAAGCTTGTTTTTAATAAAACAAATATAAATATGGATATAATAAATAATACTGCTAATAATAATAACATTATACAAAAGCAAATTGTTATGAATGAACTGAAAAAGCCTCCCGAGATGAAGAAGACATAAAAGCAGTGATTTTTCATATTTATGTAGGCTAGAAAATAATATTTTGTAATATTTTAATCCTTTATATTAATATTCTATATCTATTCTTATTATATCCTATATATATCCTTAATATTTAAATTTTTTCATATGTAAAGATATTTGCCTATTGCTCTCTTGTGTGTATTAAGCAGTGTGTAAGCGAGGTGCAACTCTGCGCTGGAGTTTAGACCGGGTTTGTTTTGGTCTAATGAAAAATCTATTATAGTTTCTCAAAATAGCAACGCGCCAGCGGTCCACCTCAGAACGCCTTCCTTTTTAGACCAGAACGCCTATGGGCGCACAAATGAGGGCTAATGCATTTGCTATTTAAACAGCGTAGCACAACGCCTCAAAACCACTCTTGCGCCAAGCTGAACTAGCAAAAGACTATTGTGCCGCGCCGGGTGTATGATAGAGCCCATAGTTTGTTTTTGATAACTGAAAATGTAATTCATTTTTTTTCATTAATTTTCTTGTCGGCTTAGTCCTTTTATTACTCCAGGGTCACCACAGCGGAATGAACCACCAACTTATCCAGCAAGTGGATTTTTTATGCAGCGGATGCCCTTCCAGCCGCAACCCATCTCTGGGAAACATCCACACATACACATACACACACACACTACAGACAATTTAGCCTACCCAATTCACCTGTACCGCATGTCTTTGGACTGTGGGGGAAACCGGAGTACCCGGAGTAAACCCACACAAACGCAGGGAGAACATGCAAACTCCACACAGAAACGCCAACTGAGCCGAGGATCAAACCAGCAACCCAGCGACCTTCTTGCTGTGAGGCGAACGTGCTACCCACTTTGCCACTGCGTCGCCGAAAATGTAATTCACTAAATAAAAATATTACAATAATAACCGAATTGTGCATTAGTAATAATAATGCAGAAGGCTATAGGAACAAAAGACAACTTTAAGGGTAAAGCAGACACTTACTAAAGAAACAACAATTTAAAAGCAACACATAAGTACTCAACTAATCGCTTTAAAGCAACACATTTACTCACATTTTCAACAATGTTAAGTCAACTAATTGTTAAAATAAAAAAGTGGATGATTTATGATTTATTTAGGTTTATTGTGTTCCTTTTTTTCAGATCTGGCAACACCAGGGAGTCAAATGAGGCATCAATGAAACAGTCCTGTGTGGAAAATGAATGAAAGTCAATCAAGCATTAACATTTTAAACACAATCTCTCTAATACGAGCTCATAATAGAGAGTTTATCAAAATACTCTTACTTTCTCCCCCTAATTGCATTCTAATTTAAAATGGCTGTCTGTCTATTTTCATTCACACTACAAGATACCGATTGACATTCAGCTTTGTGTGTTCTCTAAGCTCCCCTGACTGCAAGCGTCCTGTTGTCACTACATTCGTCTGTGGGTGGAAGAACATTTAGAATCATTACTCTCAAACACATTCCTGTATCGGGTCCCACAGTATCTCTGTCTACTTTCCTTTTTATTTCAAACATCTATCTCTTAAAGAATTGGTCTCAAACTGAATTCTTGGAGGGCCGCAGCTCTGCATAGTTGAGCTCCAACCGCCTCCAGGTCACACATGCTTAATAGTCCATGGTAGTCTTGAATACCTTGATTAGTTGCATCGGCGGTGTTTGATTAGGGTTGGAGCAAAAATGTGCAGAGCTGCGGCCCTCCAGGAATTGAGTTTGAGACCTATGTCTTAAAGTGTGTTTCTGTGCATTTCTCTTGTCAATCAGTTGTATTTGTTAAGGAAAAGTTAGTTCAGTAGCTGGGTTTCCGTCTTCATGTGCTAATGCTCATTTTTAAGTATTGCATATATGAAATGAGTAACGGAAATGCTAAATTTAAAATTTAATCCCTTATTTATGCACACTTGTGGTGGTTTTGGACTTGGAAAGTTTAGATGTAGCGAACATTACACTAAGGTGACCAAAAGCCTGTCTCAATTGTGCTTTCAACTGTTGGTTGCTAGGCAGTGCTTAATTTGTGAATTATGAGGTCCTGGAACAGATCCGGCTTATTACCCGAGGACGTCGAGGTGTCGCACACGGGTAAAAGTGAAGAGAGGGGGGGTTGGTGGGTAGGGGGTGGTGGTTGTGGCGTTGTGTTGGATGGCGGAAGGGTGTTATGAACGAAAGTGAAGAGGGTTGGGAGGTTACCGTAGAAAGGGAAAGTGAACAGTGGACGGAGGGTGAGAGCAGTTGAGAAGGGGGGTTGGTAAAATGAGGTGCCAGATCATATTTCAGAGGTGTTCTGGCACAAATTAAGCCCTGTTGCTAGGTAACCAATACTACAGTCAACTGCTCTAAAAACTTATTTTTTGCAACTTTGAAAAAATTCGATGGAAATCTAGCTATAGTCTAAGCAACATGTGGCAAACTCAAGGGTCGCGGACCAAATACAACCCGCCATATTGTGTTATTTCGCCTACGACAGCATATGATTCCCACCAAACGCAAATTTAAGTACTTGTGTAAGTAGATTACATACAAAATCAATGCAAATTGGGTAGCATGACTGATGTAGAATGCATCAGCTTGAGCGAACAATTAACATGAGGCATTCTGTGAGTAAACTATAGCAAAAGATGAGGTGCTTAGCGTTTTAGTTGTGAACCCAGTGTTCTAATAAAAGTCCATGCTGCTTTTATATTGTATGCTGCCTATAATCTCTCGTAATGCATGTTTGTTTTGCAACCCAGCTCAAAAGTACTTGTTGTTCCATAGTTCTGCTGGAATAACCTTGGAATGTAGCAACTGATCAATCAGAATCAATTATTCCAGACAGCTGTGTAATAATACGTTATAATGTAATAAAGAGAGAACTGTTAAACAATACGTTGAGTACTAACTTGTATACAGTCTCTCAGTTATAACCAGCCCTTTGAGGGCAGCCACAATGCCGACCCAGGCTCATTCTGAAAACGTACCCATATATATATTTCTGGTGAGCGCCAAATATGTTCCAGGAGCTACGTTTTTTGTGCAGCTTTTGTTTTCGCAAATCCACCAGAGGCTGCTGTGTGTGCTTTTTGAGATCTCAAATTTCTCTTGCGAGTGAATCCTGTTTTGGCCAACCCACTTACTGGAACCATTTTTTTGCTGGACTCAAACCATGTCCTCGTGGTCAACTCCTCTCTGCGTCTAAAGTTCGCCGAGGTACATGTCGAGGCACTGGACAAAATGGTAACAGCTGAAAAGCCGTCCACTCGGAGGGAAGCAGTCAGCTCGTAAGCGCGAAAAGGAACAGTGTCATACCGCCCCGTAGCGTTAATTTTAAAGATGAAATGCAGCCATATGTACTTCTGGCTGAATAATTTGCGATCTCCACAAATGTGTATAGAGTTGCGTTTTCAGAATGAGCCCACGTTGCATAATGCTGGAGTGGCCCTCAGTGAAAGTGTACTAAGCGCTTAAAATGAAAAGCCTATTATTATGTTGTTTTTTAAACCACTCTTTGGGTGCTTTCACATCTGCCTTATATAGTTTGGTTGAATCACACTAGAGTTCGTTTACCCTTTTGGTGGGGTTCGTTTGGGCAGGTGAGAATGCAGCAATTGTATTCGAGTGCGCACCAAAAGTGGACCAAAAAAGCGTACCGAGACCTGCTTGAAGAGGTGGTCTTGGTACGCTTTTTAAGCGAACCCTGGAGCGGTTCGTTTGTGGTGAGAATATGATTCATGCTAAAACAGGTCCAACCGCAAAAAGTACTGCGCCTTTCGGACTAATCCAGCTGCCGTAGGCCGATGCGCTGTGCATTATGGTATATGGAGGAAAAATATTTGTTGACAGCGCTTTACCAACAGAGAGAGAGAGAGGGGAAAACATTACCTGATGGATCGTTGGTAATCTTCCGCAAGATGACCATGTCGCAGTTTAGCTAAATTAATTCACGCCTCCTCCTGAAGTGACGTGCGATGCATTAAAACATTGTTTTCCAGCCGCAGCCGCACTTCATTCTTGAAATGTATAGTATGTCTAAGGCCCCGTTTACACTAATACGTTTTAGTTTGAAAGTTTTGCTACGGTTACGCCATCTGTCCACACTACGCCGGAGTTTTCGAGCACCAAAAATGTAGCATTTTGGAAACGCTGGAGAGTCTGTTTTCAATCTAAAATGCTGCTGCTCCGTCTCAGTGTGGATGGAGAAAAAGGGAGACATCTGAAAGCGGAGGCGGGGCTGCTGAGATTCGCCTCTCTAATTGGGGCTTTTGTGTCGTGCGTATCCTTCCCTTATTCGTCAAGCCCCTATCACATGACTATAACACATGGCTTTAACAATACTGGAAGACAGCAGACCGGCCCTCACTGTAAACAACAACATGGACACAGAAATGGGAGCGTTGTTTGCACTATTGTCTGTTTTAGGCGTCATTGTGCAGTTATTCGTTACGTTTAGTAACAACTCGACCTCATCGTCTGTCCACAAAAATACCGCGCTTGCTTTCTTTGCTATCAAGTTTAATGTTCAACTGGTGTTTGTTGATTAACAATAACCAAATGCCAAACGAGACACATGCTTCCTGTTTATACTAGAACGCACATGCCCAAAGTGTGTGAATGGTCACGTGATATACGTTTTTGGTGGCGTAGTGTGGACGGAGATATGTTCAGAAACGCTACTGTGGATGCGGATCGTTTTTGATCTAAAACGTCGTTTTAAAACTAAAATGCACGAGTGTAAATGGGGCCTAAATCAGGGATACAATCAGTCAGCGCAGTCGTAGATCCATAGTAAAAAGCGATATTTTGTGTCTGCCGGTTTGTTTACTTTCGAGAATTTTCCGCACGAGAATTCTGACTAATCGATAAGCAGTTTAGGAACTATCTTCAACAACATCTGGCCAATAAGGGATGTGGTGTTTGTCAGATGACTGCATTTAGGTTCTTTTCAACTGGTTCAGACCAAAGCCAGCAGTGTGGTGTGAAAACGACCCAAAGACGGCAGAAAATGCAACAATGTATCATTTATTGCCCTTGGTCCTGACCAAATAAAGCAAACTACAGATGTGAAAGCACCCTTTAACAGTGAATACCCAAAAATGTTAAAGTAACAAACTAAGAGCGAGAAAAGGAGCCTTATTTTTTTCTGTCTTCACAGGGGTTAAAAATAATAAATAAATAAAAGAGAAACGGTTAATCCTCTCAATAAAGAGTGCTGATATACAGCCTGCTGGAGGTATTAGAGGAACCGGGCTTAACTTGGGCTCCGAGGTCACATATCTCACAATTAATGCGCGCATTCTTATATCACGTCTCCTCCCAAAAATAATAAGAGGAGAGAAAGAGGAACGCTGGTATTTTCAGCCGTGAATTTGCATGAGAAGCAAACAGAGCCGTGGTCTTCTTCTCGGCTCCCCTCCTGAGCTGCCGGGGTGTGTTTAGATACTAAGAATGAAAGCTGTTATTTACCCCAGTTTTCTGGGTTTCCTCTTGCTCCCCTGATAATCCAGACTTCTCTGCGGAGAGGACACAGAACCAAACACACACACATGGACAAACACACACACACACACACACACATAGATAGAGAGTTAGTAAAGCTTCAGAAAAGACAAGCGGCAAGCAACGAACACGCGCAAAATCATTAATTTTTAATTCAAAGTGATTTTGTGTTGAATGTGTGCAGATGCTGATAATATCAGAAGTCACAGCATAATTTTTCTTGATCAAAGCACGCGGGGCTGAGGCTGATGAGGCAGGCATCTTGCTCGGCTTTGATAAACCACATCAATTATTCACCGTGAAGGGAGACATCCTCACATGAAAGCAACAGATAAAGCGCCAAAGCACATGGTGGAGACAACAGAACGGCGGAGCGGCGGCGAGGGGAGAGGAGGAAGGGGGGGGTTCTCTCTGGCACAGGTAGCTTTAATTGTATTATCATCTGGAAACAAAGTTAGACAAAGGCTCCCGTGAAAAGCTTTGAACTCACGTTGAGATGGTTGTAATAAAGACTGTCTTCCGGGCTGTTCAGGAGCTTGGGCTGCTGTCCTCTACGCCGAGGGGAACGGTGCTGGTGTAGCTTCAGCGTTGGGCCTGCGGGACACACACACACAAGCGGGACGGATCAGTGACACGTCTCCCATTGTGACGCCCTGCAGGACTTGTTTAAGCAGAGGAGCACAAATAAAGCTGACAGACGCGACATAAATACATCATAGCCTCGTACGGGCTAAACAATAGTGATTTGTGTATTTTCTGTGGTGTCCGTGTTGAAGTTGACACTGTGATGCTGCAGACGAACAAACTGCAGCAGTTTAGTGTGGTATATTAGATTTTTCTTTTAATATCTACAGCTGCCAGTTTAGAAATGAAAAAAATTACGGTAATTTACCTAGAAAATGTAGATTTTACTTTTAAGTTCCAACCTTGTTTTTTACAGTAAAAGTCTGACAAAATCAGCTGCCGGTTTATAAAGTAACAAAATACGTCAATTTACCGTGAGATTTTAGATATTTCTTTTAACTTCCAACCTTGTTTTTTTTTACAGTAAAAGTCTGACAACTACAGCTGCCAGTTTGTAAATGAACAAAAAAAAAGTCAATTTACAGTAGCAATTTAGATATTTCATTTACATTTCAACCTTGTTTTTTTACGGTAAGAGTCTGACATCTACAGCTGCCAGTTTATAAATAAACAAAAAAAACGTCAATTTACCACAGCAATTTAGATATTTAATTTACACTCCAACCTTGTTATTTCATGGTAAAATGCTGACAACTACAGCTGCCAGTTTATAAATGAACAAAATACGGCAATTTACCTTGAAAATGTAGATATTTCTTTTACAATCCAACCTTGTTTTTTTCAGTAAAAGTCTGACAAATGCAGCTGCCAGTTTATAAAGTAACAAAATACGTCAATTTACCGTGAGATTTTAGATATTTCTTTCAACTTCCAACCTTGTTTTTTTTTACAGTAAAAGTCTGACAACTACAGCTGCCAGTTTGTAAATGAACAAAAAAAAAAGTCAATTTACAGTAGCAATTTAGATATTTCATTTACATTTCAACCTTGTTTTTTTACGGTAAGAGTCTGACATCTACAGCTGCCAGTTTATAAATAAACAAAAAAAACGTCAATTTACCACAGCAATTTAGATATTTAATTTACATTCCAACCTTGTTATTTCATGGTAAAATGCTGACAACTACAGCTGCCAGTTTATAAATGAACAAAATACGGCAATTTACCTTGAAAATGTAGATATTTCTTTTACAATCCAACCTTGTTTTTTTCAGTAAAAGTCTGACAAATGCAGCTGCCAGTTTATAAAGTAACAAAATACGTCAATTTACCGTGAGATTTTAGATATTTCTTTCAACTTCCAACCTTGTTTTTTTCAGAATAAATGTCTGACAACTACAGCTGCCCGTTTGTAAATGAACAAAAAAACGTCAATTTACCGTAGCAATTTAGATATTTCATTTACATTTAAACCTTGTTTTTTTTACGGTAAGAGTCTGACAACTACAGCTGCCAGTTTTTAAATGAACAAAATACGGCAATTTACAGTGAAAATATAGATATTTCTTTTAAGTTCCAACTTTGTTATTTTACGGTAAAAGTCTGACAAATACAGCTGCCAGTTTATAAAGAAACAAAACACGACAATTTACCATAGTATTTTAGATATTTCTTTCAACTTCGAACCTTGTTTTTATGGTAAATCCAGTTTGGCTTTAAATGCAGCTACTTTATCTGCCAACTTAAAGATAATTAATTCTTGTGCGGTCCTGTACTGATTGATCCACGAACCGGTACCGGTCCGCGAACCCGGGGGTTGGGGACCACTAGTGAAAAGGAATGGCGACATTACAAAGTGATAAATGCTGTACTGATCCAACTTTTTGAAACAAAACTGAAATAAAAAAGGAACATTAAGTAATGTTTGTTGTATTGTCTGCAATGAAATTTAGGTCAAATAAATGTAAAAGTCACTTCTTTCTTTTTTTATTTGCGTTTTCCATACTGTCCCAACTTTTTGTAATTTGGGTTTTTAATTCTTTATATTAGAAGACTCACACAGCTTTTCCTACGGCAGCAAATTCAGTTTTTCTTTTTGATATTCGCCGCTTGTTTATCAATAAGGGACGATTTAGTTCTCCTTGACTCATTGAATGAAAACGATGCGTAATTCGATTCAAATCACACCTTTGGATGGAAATAGCTAATATGTCCGCACTCATCCGCTCTTTACACATCTTTTTTTTTTTTTTTTGAAGAGAGTCAAATCTATGCAAAGTAGAATTACACCAAGACTGAAGCTCAGAGCTTTGAAGTGTTGGACGGATGAAGATGTTCTGCGCTCTGTTCAAAGCCATTCTGTTCCCGAATGTTCGTAACTCTGTTTTAGAGCAGATTTACAGAGGATCTGGAAACATTGATGAGTCAAGAAGCTCAGCCTTGTCTAAAACGAACACGAGATGAAACGGGCCCAGATATTTAAATATACATGCCGCCGTGGAAAGGTGTCCTGGATTTCTTGCTCGTTTTGTCGTGTTTGTAGATCTGAAAGGTTACCAGTGAACACGAGGAAGGAGGACTCGCTCTTTTTCTCCTCTTTCTGGCATGCTGTTTGATCTGCCGTAATTGTAAACTGGCAGAGTTTTGCTAGATCTGATGGTGAAGTCTACATTCTGCATATTTAAACTACTTTCAGGCATAGCAGGGACTGTTTGAAAAGGAGTTCATTGTTTAAAACACTGAGTACATTGACATGGACACCAATAATCATCAGCATCCAAGCAGCATCCAAGAAATGTCTAGTCCTTTAGGAGCAAAGATGGGCCGAGGGTTGTCAATTTGCCAAGAAATATGTGAGAAAATGATTGAAATGTTTAAAAACAATGTTCCTCAAAGAAAGAGAGGAAGACATTAGGATATTTCACCTTCAAAAGTTCAGAACATTATTAAAAGATTCAAGGAATCAGGAGAAATTTCAGTGTGTAAAGAACAAGGGCGCATGCCTAAGCTGAACAACCGTGATCTCCAATCCCTCAGGCGGCGCTGCATCAAGAATCATCATTCATCTATAAGCGATATCACTACATGAGCTCAGGACTACTTTGGCAAACCTTTGTCAAATACCACAATACATAGTTACATCCAAAAATGCCAGTTAAAACTGTACTGTGCCAAAAGGAAGCCCTATGTTAACAGTGTCCAGATGTGCCGTCGACTTCTCTGGACCCTGGAGGCATCTGGGATGGACCATTATACAGTGGAAATGTGTACTGTGGTCAGATGAATCCAGCCTGATCTCACGAGAAAACGTAAGTATTTTACGTTTTGCCAGTTTAGTAGCTAATTCGTACGAATGATTTTAAAAAGGAGGCGTGGCACCTGACCCCACCCCTAACCCCAACCGTCATTGGGGGATAAGCAAATCGTACTAAATTGTACGAATTAGATTGTACGAATTCATACGAATTAGCCACTAAATGAAAAAGTTACGAATTGCCGTGAGATTGTGTTGGATGAATCAGTATTTTGGCCATTTCTTTGGGAGAAATGAACACTGTATGGTCTGAAATGAAGTAGAAAGGGATAATCCAGATAGACTTTCTGATGGTGAAGTCTACATTCTGCATATTTAAACTACTTTCAGGCATAGCAGGGACTGTTTGAAAAGGAGTTTTGTTTAAAACACTGACTACATCTACATTGACACCAATAATCCGATTTTAACACGATTAAGACAACTCTCTGATTAAGACTCTACAGTGTAAACAGCAATTTTTGATTAATCCGATTAAGGTCACAATTGAACTAAACAGAAATCGGATTAAGATTTGTGGAGTATACCGATTTTAGTGGCAATATTTTGAAGTGCAGTACAGACATGTAAACACTGCAATCAAACAACTACTATAGTTTAGGATTTTTGCCGCATTTTACGACAGGATAGTCTATACCAGGGATGCCCAAACTCGGCCCTGGAGGGCTGGGGTTCTGCATATTTTAGTTCCAACCCTAATTAAACACACCAGAAACAGCTAATCAAGCTCTTTCTAGGTATACTAGAAACTTCTAGATAGGTATGTTGAAGCTAAACTATGCAAGACACCGGCCCTTCAGAACCGAGTTTGGACATCCCTGGTATAGATGTATAGATTTTCCCAGCATTTTACAGTTCTATCCTGCTATCATCCTGTAAAGATATATTCCCGTATTTCTACCGTATTTTCATTCTTTCTCTGAAGGGTGGCAAATATTACATTAAAGAGCCGTCCTCCCTATATGCAACCCATACTGCCGAACCACCAGGGGCCACCCTTGCTCTTAAATGTGAGTCTGTTTTGTGCTTTTGCTTTGTTTAGGCATGAAAACACTTTGAAATAAATATAAAAATGACAGGATTCCCTTCCTTTTCATTACAGGTGCCGACTCCCCTTCATATGCAATCCTCAAAACAGCCATGTAGCAGTGCGTGACTGTCATCTGACGCGCTCCACAGCTGTTTCCCAAACAGATTCTGTACATGCGATTTAAAATGGAGCGAAAGTCTGGGTTTTGGGTGCGTGTTTAAACAGAAATACGCATAATTAATAATAATATCTAAATATGTAGATTTTGGTGTTTTTTTTTTTTTTCCAAACACAACTAATTTTGTTCTAAATCAGTATAAACGGTTAGGAAAGCAGTTGAATGCTTTCAATATAACGTTAGATGTGTGCATTTTTAAAGTGGTACCTCTGTTAATGTAATCAAACGAAAAAAAAAAAACTAAATAAATAAAAGATTTACTCGTTGCTCTTTCAAGAGTTCACACTTAGCTGATAATCAATAAAGAATATCTGGCATGCTGTCCTGGGAGAGAGCCCTGAGCTCCTAATATCCTCAAGCCCGGGGTTTCCTCCTGTTAGAAGTGCGAGAGGGGAGTTCGAGCTCAGGTAGGTCTCGAGAACTCCCTTGCTTGTCGCCGTTTTAGAAGTGTAAACCAAGGTTGTCTTAGGTGATAATTTGGTTTAGTCGATTAGCTAAGGTTTATGTTTTTGGACGTTGGGAGGAAACGGGGGGAAACCCACGCGAAC